ATAACAGCTGATATCATTCAAAACAATATTTTTTTTTTTATTAAGGACAAATATTATAAGTTGAATCTTACACAATATATTTATCATATAAATAAAAAGTTTTTCCTGAAAATTTTATCAACATCAGTTGCTTAATATCAACTTTATCAAGAAAAAATTTGAATTTGCACAATAATATCTAATGTAGGATATATATATATATATATATATATATATATATATATATATATATATATATAGTTTAAAATTTGCTATATTTATGGAAAAAACTGCTCAATATCAAGGATAGAGTATTTTGCAGATATAAACAGTGTATTCGAAGCACTAAAAACTTGTTTAAAACCAGATGGTATCAACATGTATTATCCTTCAACAATAAAACTTATAAAAATAGTACTTCATTGTCAAAGTACTATTGGAGTTTAAAAGATAAGAATAAAACTAATACAGATAAATGGAAACTACTTAGGAGGGCTTGAACCTGTAATTCTCTATACACACCATGTTATCTTTGTCTCAATGAAAAATTGAAAATTATTAGATTTAAAAACAGGATTAATCTCTTAAACCAAAGGAATGAACTTACCATTAACTGTAGAAATAGTTCATGCTTTACCTTGCAATATAAGTAATAATATTATTGTTATGGGACCTTACCCATAATAACATAATGGACTATTCCATACCTAATAAATACTGCACCTCAAGAGGAAGCAGGAATTCAGTCTGAAGTCTGGAGTGAAGTCCGTCAGGAGTCTGTCAGTCAGTCAGAGCGAGTGAGTCAGTCAGTCAAGTCAGAGGCAGTCTAAAACAGAGTCTCGTTCAGACAATTACTACTAAACCTGATTGTTTGTACTAACACTTTCTACTTCTCTGTATATATTCCTGTTTGTAATATATCTGTGTTATTCCATATCCGTGTTCAAGTTCTTCTTTATTGGTTCTACCTTGGACTATCACCGTGGTACAAGGAACTGGACCATAACAATTATGAATGATAATATAATGGTATTGTAAATTAGTAATATTATTATTATTTATTGGTTATTTATTTTATTTATTTATTTTTTTAATTGTTTTTTTGCAACCTGTCTGCTGACTTTAATTATAAGTTACTCTTATTTACTACCATCTTAATTTGACATAGTTAATTTGATATTGAATATTTGTGACCATTTATGGATTAATTATAGACTCAGAATCTGTTATTGTTATCTATGCATACATGTATATATGTGTGTATGTGTGGTTGTTTCTATATTTGTTTATATATGTGTGTATATACATTTGTACATATATTTGTGAATGTGTGTCTGTGTGTTGGTATATACATGTGTATTTGCATGTATGTGGATGTATGTGTATGTATATATATGTGGGTGTGCATGTATGTATGTGTGTATATATATATATATATATATATATATATATATATGTATATGTGGATACATGCATGTGCTTGTATATGTATATTTTTATATATGTGGGTGTTTTATTTGTATGTTTATATGTGTATTTTGTTTGAACATGTGAGTTTGGTTGTTTGCATTTATGTATATGTATGCATATGTGTGTGTGTATGTATGTATATATGTGTGTGTATGCATGTATGTCTTTTTTCTTTGCTCTGTCTATAGAATGATATGTGTATTTCAGCTACGTATATATATATGCATCATACATATCCATATATATGCACTTCTTACTTTATTTGATCCTCTTTTTATCTATATGTTTGTTTCTGTATGTAAAATATGGATGGTTGGCTTGTGTAGATTTATTACTGCATTTATGCTTGAATTTTGGTAAGTTTGATTATTCGTATATTTGGATGTGTGTGTGTGACTGCTTGTATATGCTTTTACCTTTATATATATATGCCTAACATAATTTTCTTTTGCATGTTTGTCTTCTTTTTCATTCTTATTTTATTCTTTATTTTTATTCTTGAATTTTTCCTTCCTCTACTTTCTGTGTGTATATATGTCCTTGTATTTGTGTGCTCATATATTTGCTTATATATATGTGTTTGTGTATTATGATGTAAATGTGTTTGTCTTGTCACTTGAAAATTCCCGTCCCTACCTGCCTACTTATTTGAATTCTGACTTCCATGTGTCAAATATGTGTAGCGATCGGAGATACTTTTTTCATCAGCATCGAACTTAACTGATAAATTGGCACTTTGCTAAGAACAATAAAATACATTTTTTCTCCTAGTTTCAATTCTGAATAATCCAGAAATAATATTAAATTTGTTGCTCGGTTAACTTTAGAATTTGACATTGGAAATTTTTAATTTAACTGATTAACTTAAAATTTAATTTTTATCTTGATTTCTAATTTAATCTATTCTTAGCATCATTGCACTAATTGATTGTACTTATACTAGTGGATGTTATGCTATTTTAAATTATCATATACTTGTATTCTGATTGGTCATCATAGGTTATGTAACAATGTTTCCCCTACTAAGGGAGTTTGGTTGGCTTTTGAACTCTTAAAATCATTTATTTTCCATTCAACATCATCACTTGACAAGACACCTCAAGTGTCGAAATAAAATTGCAAATTTTGTAGTGATTTCATAACATGCATTTGTTATAAATTTGAATGAATTATATATATATATATATATATATATATATATATATATATATATATATATGGATAAAAAGAGACAATTGGAAAATATTTCTTAGTCATTGGTGACGTGTTTCGTCAATCCAATTTTATCAAGACAAGTTTAAAAGCAAAATGTTTTGTACTTACATCAAATTCAAAATATTAAAAAAGGGACACTCAATCAAAAGAGAGGGATTGTTGCATATTCATATGATTTCAGCTCCTGACATATAAAACTTTCTGATCTCATTATGTCTCACCATAGGGTAGGATGGATGATGTGCTGAACCTTTGTTAAAAATTCCTATGCATAAAATATTCATTAACTTGTATAGGAAATTGAAAGTTATTTTGGCCAATGTGGTGATCTTGTATAGGTTTCCTATCAAGATGTTATTACAGGAGAAAAAAATGAACTAAATGATTTCATTTATTTTACTGGTAATTGATAATTCTCATGTAGGGTTTTTCTCATAACATTTCAAATACTGTACACTGAAGTCTTTCTTTAAGGAGTGATGGACAGAATCCTCTATTTCATCTACAATGATATCTAGAGTCTTGTGGAAGTTAGAAAGTCTGTATGCCATGTTTATTTCCATGGTTAAAAATAGATGCCATATTAGACCACCTCTCAACTAATGAGAATCACTTGTGGGAGCTATTAGAATTTAATTTGAGAACCACGACTATAATATTACAGGTTCACCTCTTTTCTAATTTTCATCCCAACTTTTTTTCACTGCTTTCAAATCCGGCTCCCAAAGCCTTGATTCAAAGAATATATTTTTTGACTGAGAGAGCTGGAACATATGAAAAAGAGTTTGAACATCATTATCTTGTCCTTGATTCCATGAAGTCTGGGGGTAACTTGTCGGACTCATGCTTCTAAAAAGCAGATCCCAAAACTTTGATTCTTATCAGAGATAAGAATATATTTTCTAACAAATGAAATGGCCAGGAAATTTGTATAGCACTTTTCGAGAGAAAGTCCTCAATATTTTCTGAGCTTCCTACTCTTCATAAATACAGATAATTTATGCCTGTTTGGCAGTGAGTTTTCGACCACTGTCTGTGACATAGGTCAGTGGCAGAAAAGCAATCATCTTCAAGAAAGAACTACCTACTATGGGCTGTTGAGAAAGAACCTTGGCCAACTACTAAAAACCAATTCAGATTTCTCTCCTCGCACCTAAAAGATATCTGTCGCTGGCCTATGAACTCACTCAACTACCACAGTTTCCACCTCTACAAGAACTCTGAACAAATCTGTGAGTGTTTTAATCTTTAAACAGCAAATCTACTACTTGCTTAAAGAACTTTAGGCACTTAGAGAAATATTTTGAGTAAGCCTTTACTTTTTTATGAACATTTTTTCTTCCTTTAAAGTTAAAGGAATTTTCTTCTCCTTTTCTTTTTCTTTGTGTATATCCTTATACCACCTTTTTTGTGCATATAAATAAAAATTTTCTTCCTTTATTGTTACGCACCAAACGGGAGTTTCAGTCATTATTCTTCCGCCTGAAAGAGGTGCCTAAAAAATAGAGAACTGTCCACTCTAATCTTTCAAGCCATTGTTCTTTTTTTCAATTTTGTCCCATTTTAACCATAACCCTTTCATGTGGGAAAGCTGGGACAAATTTCCCACTGACCATATAAAAATGGGAGTACTGATCCACTCTCTCTTTTTTCTCTGATTTGAGTCACAAGGGTCTTCCCTTTTTATCAGGTCATCGGCCATAACAGATTTCATGTTGAAAACTCTAAATACAACAGACAGGACACATTTCATTGTCCTGAAAAGAAACTCAAACTATTGTATAATTTCACATAAGGTCACTTTATAAACAAACCATATATGTACAGTTCTTCCTCATTTATTTTTGCTCATTATAAAGTTTTCTGTTGCACACACACAAAGAATAGTTTAGTTTTATTCACTGGTTGTATTTTGGCTTGCATGACTTGTCTCCCACTCTTTCTCTTCTAATGTACTTCCCAATTCCTACTACAATTTTAGGGTGAGGGAGGTACAGTAATGTCAGTCATAACTTTCAAACAGAATAACCATGTGGCTTTGTCTCAATGTAGTTTAGGGAGTTACCTTTAAAAGTTCCATCAGTATTTGATAACAGTTGAAAAAGGACAATTCCTTCAACAGATATATTGTTGTCACTGTTTGTTGTCCTATCCAGTGTCTTTTCTACTGATAAGAGACTTTGTAACTGTCATCAAGATAAGGATGCAAATCTAAAAGAAACATTGCATTATATAATAATAATAATAATATTAGTTCATCATGAAAACCCAAACTGAAATAAAGAAAAGCAATCTTACAGGAGTTATTAAAAATGATTTAAGTATATTTAGAGTATTTACCTGTAAGCTATTGATTGTGACAAGAAAATTCTGGCTAGTTTAATTTCTTTGATTAGTCTTAGTAGATCATCTCCTTCAAACTCAGGAAGGTGGGGATACTAAAAAAAAAGAGAGAAAATTAAGAAATTATTGTTATGTTATATAAATGGTATATTTCAAAATTATTTGTATTTTTGAGGGAAATAAAACATAATATCTCATTCACAAAAGTATTATTTATTCTCAGTTATAAGGCAATCAACTGATACTGAGTTAAAAGCAGTTATGACTATATATATATATATATATATATATATATATATATATATATATATAAATATATGTGTGTCTGTGTGTTTGTATGTGCATGTGGATATATATATATATATATATTTTATTTATTTTTATATATAAATTTTAATTTAATTTAGATTAAATTTATATATATAAAGTTTAATAATTCTTAATTATTTTAAATGTGATATAAATGAAAGACAATATTAATAAATTGAAATGACTGAAAAGGAAAAGATATTTTAGCAATGCAATTCATTTTTTCACCCTTGGAATTGTGGTCTGATGAACCAAGGAAAAAGAAATTCACTGGGGAAATAAGTTATAACCAATGGACACTTAAAGTTGTCTGTTTTCATTGAATTAATCGCTCTGATTTAACATTGATCTCTTTGGATTTCATCCTCCTTGGGATTAGCCATACGGATTACCAAGATTTTCATTACTTAAAATTTTATATATATATATATATATATATATATATATATATATATATATATTGGATCTTATAAGAAGCTTATCCACCCTTTGACAGGTCTTTTGTCTTGTCCTGTTAGGTGACATGTCACCCTCCTTACCAACAGAAAAGCTAGTGTGTAGCTGATTTAGATACCAACCATGTGGCAGGTTGTACTGGGTTACATGTTACCAGTAGCAAAATCTGACATAAAATAGTAAAAAGAAAAAAGAAATCTGATGTTATTTACAGCTGTCCCTACCACAGTAGTGTTTATTTCTATTGATAGCAGCCTGATATCACTCAAGAACATACTAATCAACCTCCCCTAATCTTTACTGTTCTGTGCTCTCAAAATAATGATATTTGACATTTTGTTGTTTAATTAAAATAGAGAAAAACAACTAATGACTTTTTCACACAAAAAAAAACTTCTGATTAATCTCTCTGGGGGGGTGACTGGACTTATTTGGCCAATTAGCTAGTAATTTATCAGACTAGGAAGGATATTTGTGTTTTCCTATTTCCAGGTGAAGAGGAAGTGAAGATTATTAGGTTCAGCTTCAGCAACTCTGTAACAATGGTTCGTTATATAGCTGCTGATTGACCGATTTAAACAAAAAAGAACAAGAAAGTAGCAGAAAGAATCAAGTATAAAATCTAAGAAAATTACATTTGACTCCTTGAGAATTGGTAGGTGCTCTGAATATTTTTGGATAGAAGTGATTTCTATAACTAGTCATATTTGAATAAAGTGCTCTGAATTTAAGTTCAGTAAAAATAGCTTTTGGAAAATGTTTCATATTCCATCCTCTCTAAATTGGAAAGCTGAATACGAATTCCAGTCAGGTCTGTTGCATTCACTCATGTGCAAATATCCTTGGGAAATGTATGAACCCATATCCTCCCCAGCAGATATGGGTTAAATAGTAGGACTTGTATCTGGAAAAATCATTGTTATTCCCAAAAAATGTCAATGCAATATTAAATCACCAAGAATAATTATTTTTACAATCCAAAATAGGTTTTGGCTTTAAGTAACCCACAAAGTATTGATAAGCTGTAAAAAAAAAAAAAATCAATTAACCATCCTTTCTGTAAAGTTTGCCCTCAATTCTATTCTGTAACATAAAACACAGTATGACTTCATTGCAACCTGTTTTGGTAATACATAACATTACTTTTTACCATTGCAAATATGTCTTGTTGGTTGGTTGGTTGATTTTGTTTAGCAGTATATCAATCTCTATGGGTTATTTAATGCCGAAATCTAAATATTTTGAACACAATTTTATGGCTTCAACTACAGAAAAAATGTTTGTTGGTAATTTTACTATAAAAATGTATTGTTGGTCATTTTATTATAAGATTTTTGTACTTACATTCGTGTCTTTGAATCCTTCTGTCAATAATTTATGAATAAACATTTGGATGTTAAAGTGTCCATGGCACTTGTGATATCTACCTGCTGTCTCTCGGGCAAGACGCTTCAAAAAATTGTTGGCAACACTACAAGAAAGAAAAGAATGAAGGACTCATCACAATATAAGAAAAAAAAGAGAATAAATATAATCTTGTTGGAATCCGTCTACCCAGGTTTTTGTTGCTATCTGAGTGTTGGGATTCCAGACATTTAACAACACATCTTTTAAATGAAACATAAAAGATTATTTCCTGAAGAAAAAGTAAAAGCAGAACATCAGTTGAAAATTTATATATTCTTTTCTGAAATATACAATAACAATAAAATGTTCAATTTTCCTTACAGTGAAGTTGGTTTCATAAAGTAATTAAGTGTTCTTAGAGCGGTGTGAAATGTGTGGACAGACTTACTTTATGATGGTCAGTTTAATGTGTTCGTGAGTTTGTGGACAAGGCCTTAGTGGCTGCTGGCTGTTGTCTCTTTATTGTATGTATGTGTGTGTGTGTGTGTGTGTGTGTGCCTGTATCTACACATGTAAAGCTAAAACTAGCCTCCAATAAGCTTCTATTTTATATCTGTAAGAGGGATCCAAAATCTAATTCCAGATAGAGGTGTGAACTTTTTGAATACAAGATTTTCATTAGAAAATAATTTCACACTGCATTGCGAAAATATTTTTCTTGAATTTGTGGGAGCGGTGAAGGGAGTTATTGTTATTTTCTAAATGGTCCATGAATAATACGTGGCAGGTCTACAACTACACCAGCAAGTACTTTGGAAGTACTTTTTGTTTATCAAACAGACATTCTGATGGGATTTTATTGGTTGAAAAATATATAGAGGATTTAATTCCTATAATAATTCTTAAAAAGATACAAATAAAACAACTAATGTATTTTGAATTTCTTTGATGATTATTTTATTTGTTATCATTTAGATTAAAAGAGTTGTGCCAGGATGTGTGTATGTGTGTGAAAGAGAGAGAAAATAAGAAGATTGTAGTCAGCCAAGAAGTAAAATAAAGAAAGAAAGGAAAGGAAACTGAAGACTGTGTTAAAATTCACCCAAAACTAGTAGATTGTCAATTTATTAGCATGTTGAACAACTGAAGTGGTGGGCATGTAAGGATCTCAAAGTGCTACCCAAAAGATCCAGGAATTGGATCAGTACTAGTAAAATAAATGTAGTACAAATTTAGCCATTATTCATCTGAGGGTAGTACTATTTTCACTTACATGCAAATACCCTTGGGAAAGGGATGAATCCACCTCTTCTCCCTCAAGCTATGGGTTAATTAGTGAGACTTGTGTCAATAAAACCATTATAATCTCAAAAAAATAAATAAATTGTGTACAAAATATTTAGAATCTGGCATTAAATAATCTGTAGATATTGATATGCCGCTAAACAAAAACAACCATATATATCAAAATAGAACTTTTTAAAAATTATTTTATATATTTAACATTCTATTGGCTTTTCATCCAAATTTAACTCCATTACATACATACACACAAGTACTATTTATATAATTATACATCTCCTATCAGACATATACACATAAAGCTACAAAAAATATATAAAAAAAAGAGTACATTGATAGAATTTAAAATAATATTATTTAAAATCAAGTAGTTTACATTCTAAATAATTATATCATACACTTTATCATTCATCTGATAAATAACAAATAACTAAATTGGTTCATGCAACTGGTCCATGGTAATGGTAATATTAGCTGTTTCCTTATAAGGAAACTGTTATATTCCATGCTAATAGGAATATATATTTGACAAACATGGTGAATAAAATAAGTAAAGGTTTATTGTAAAAACCAATACAAAAAGAATAAAGGTAACAGTTATGCACAAGATCGTTGCAAGTCAATCCAGTAGTGAGGGCTACTTTTGGAAGTTCTCGTGTAAGTCTGAGTCGTACTCAACAGATCCCAGCTAGTATATTTAGCTACCCACCACCCCACAAGGGTTGCATGTGGCACAAGGCCGGTTTAACGTGGGTTCTCTGAGCCTATAGGCTTGGCCAAAAATATTCCCTTTTTGAACCTGCATAAACGGGTTCAGGGTCAGTCTACCTCCCTGAATGAGACTTTGCCCTTTGGGTTTCTCTCTGCCCAAAGGCAGAGATTTTGACTGTTTAGCTGGAACAGGTCGTAGCTAGACTCTGTAGTCCATTGACTTACAGATACTTATAGGTAGTTACTACCTATAGTGTAGTCACTCATGGGGGTGACAGGTTATTCCATTACATCAAAAACATTTGGCATTCATTGACCAAGAGGCAGTACTGTTGTTGGTTAAAATTTATAAAAACTTTTAAAATAATTTTTCAGGATAATAGGTTTCTCAAGTCCAGTAGCTGTTATTGCAATTTTGGTATTGATGGGAGCTTTCTTCTTAAGCTTTTATTTGAAGAAGTGTGGACTGTCAACATCTTGATTATGTCATTATTTTCTCTTTGAATTATAAGCAATATCTATTTTTGATGTTTTTTTTCTATTACCTGCTACAGTTCTTTGTGATTCTGTAGTGCCAGTCTACAAATTTAGAAGAAGAATGATCTTTGCCAAGACCTACAGGCTTCACTCACACAAAGCCATTTTTAATCATTGATATGAGAAAGTAGTTGTATATAGCTGACAGTTTAGATATTTCTGAACAGATTTGGTACCATGCATAATATCCATATGAATGCATATAATATCCATATGAATGTCTTGATGTGAATAGTCTATTAATATTTTGGTTTTGTTGCAATTTGCAGTGTTGCATGAGACTACTCCTAACTACTTCCTTATCTCCTATATTAAGTTTGTTAAAACTGATTCATACACTAAGTTATTAGAAGAGTTTGGTATTTACTAAATACACATACTAAATTTTTATGATAAATTCAGGATAGATACCATAGGAACTCAGGGGGCACCCACACCAAACTTTCATACAGGCACCATCTCTCTACTGCATGTTGATTTCAAAGTTTCCAAGCCTGGGGGCCACAAACCCTTGCAGGAAAATTGGTGGGTAAGGGCACACTTTTTTTAAATTAATAAAAATCAGGGAATTATTTAATTTAAATGAAAATTTCAGTACATATTCATTAATTATTTACTTTTATAATGAATAGGTTTTTTATTTAAAAATTCTGAGAAAATGTTATTCTTTTTGTAATAACCACCAATATTTTCATGACTAAATTTTACTGGAAAAAATGTTAAAGTTGCAAATTTTTACATTTCTATAACGATTAATTACTGATGCATCTCATTGAAAAAAAGTTTTACAAAGATTCTAACACAACACGAACAGGTTTGTCTTAAAAATTTGTTTTAAAAACAATATTTCAGTTTTCGGGAAAATTTTTCATGTGTTGAAATCTTTAGATATTTTTGTTTTTTAAACGATCCTTTTCTTGGCTTATCTTTCTAGAAATGTAAAAAATAGGAAATAGAAATTTTATTTTCATTACTATCTGTCGACTTCTGGTTAGTATTACTATAAGTAAAAAAAAAAAAAAAATTAGAGATCCTCCTTAGTGGATGATCTCCGAATAAAAGATATATTACTAGTTAAGGGTAAGATGCACCGACCATGGATACCATCACTGCTTTCATTCCAATTCCAAATCATAATTTTTGTTTTGGAAAAGTTTATTTTGAGTCCTATTTCTTGGAAAACTTGGTAGAGGATGATGATTTTCTGCTCAAGATCATTCTTATCCCAACTATGAACATCTGCTGTCAACATAGAACCACCCACCATCATTAGTACATTGGCCTTGGGAGGTAAAGCAGAACTGTTGTCTTCTATTGGTAGACTTGTTTTGGATGTGGTATGGAATGCTTAAATGGTCAGTGTTCATATTTTTACATCTGTGCTTGTAAATGTACAGAGCATAATCTAGGAAAAATTTAAATAGACTCCTTGTTGTATGCATGATGAGGTTTGAAATGTTCCCACATTGTAAAATTACAATTATTGAAGATTTCAAATATTGATGATGTTCCTTAGCTTTGGCATAATACAGTTCTATGAGAAAAATGTCACAATGTCTCTGGAAGGTATTTTTATTTATCACCATCTGAAAAATAGTTTTGGCAGAGACAAATAAAGAGACACATTTAAAAGATTAGATATTTATAAATAGAGGACAGAATGTGGTGAAAGAATATTTGTGCTTAGAAACAATTTACAAACAATGGATCAGAAAGTCATATGTGCAGCTGGAGACTGAATTGTGTGCAGTTGGTCCAGAAACCAAGTTAATTGCATAAAAGAATTTTCTACAGAGTGACACTTTGGTTTTATATTATTTTTTTAATGTAATTCTCTGTGTATATATATATATATATATATATATATATATATATTTTTTTTTTTTTTTTTCTAAAGAATTAATTGATTTATTTTTAATTGAACATTTTTTATTACTTCAAATGTTATAGTGGACACAAATAATTGAGTGTCCAAAATAATAACATTTGATGTATATATTTATATATGTATGTATGTGTGTATTATTATTATTATTGCTAAATACAATGGACATGGATTACTTACAATTTTATATAATTTTGTATGTTCTCATACCAGGGAACAAAAGTTTGGTTGAAGAGAGTTGAGTAAAGCTCTGTTTATAAAATTTTCTATTATGGTAATTTTGTATTTGTGGGAACATTCACCCTCTTATTAAAAAGTCTAGTGTTGGAACTTGTAGTTTTATATAATGAAGTAGTGAAGGTGTGTCTATTTGAATCAAAATATCTAAAAAGGGAATTCTATTGTTTATATTAAGTTTGTAAGTAAAATGGTGGATAGAATTACTTTTGAAAGTTTCTTTTAAAATTTTTGATTCTTCTAGATTTTTTGGCTAATATAAAAAAATATCATCCACACACACACACACACACACATATATATATATATATATATATATATATATATATATATATATATAAAGTGAATTTAGTTAAAATTTTTAAAAACTAAATTTCAAGTTCAAAACAGCAAAGGAGGGTTTCATCTTTTATAAACTGATAAAAGACAAAATAACCTTTCACCAGTTTATAAAAGATGACAAAGTAACTTGAATCCATCACAAATTAAGACTGCATTTATTTGGTAGATTTGATAAAATAATATGTTTATTGTATAAACATCACATAAACAAAAAATTAAAGATCTACAATAGAATAATATTCTGATCAAATTTCCAAGATAATTTTCTTAAGCCTTCTGATTACAAACTCACAAATGAACAGACAGAATTCATTAATCTTGGATCTGTCACTTACACACAAAATTTGATTTCAAGAAGATAAAAATTGAGATACTATACTAAAAGTTTTACAATTTCAAAACAAAAAATTCTGTGTCTTCAAAATCATCAAATGTTTTAACCCATCAATGTCCACTGTTCCATTTTTGGAACAATGGACATGTATGGGTTATTGTGATTTTCCAAGCATAGCTTAGATGTGGCACAAGACCTAAAGTAGGGAGGCACCCAGTGAGGATTTAACTCACTACTCAGTTGTAATTGTTCTAGCTAATCTTGCTAACCATTACACTGCCTTCAGGTGCCCACATTTATGGGTTATATGTAGAAACCTATAACACTGAATTTTTATAAACATATAATTCTAGATTTTTTTAATGTCTGATTCTTTTAGAAACCTATATTTAATCAGATTTTTATTTTTATAATGAATACCAGATATAAAATTAATGGGTTAATAACAAATTCCTCAAATTGTCAAAGTTGTAGATTGTTTTTGAGAAGTTCATGTTGAGCACTACATATCCTAAAAGTTATCGGGAATTAACAAATTGTTGTGTCATGTCCATAAAAAAAATAAAAATTAATTATAGTGTCAAAAATAATTATTATGATTGTAATTATCAATAATTCCCTCATTCTAAACCAGTCTGAATTAAACCCACTTTTCTCTTGAGGTAAGAAAACCCCAGACACGTCTTGTATTTTTTCAACTAAATTATCTGTACACTCATTACACACAGCTATAAAAAAAAACTTATGAGAAAGACTCTATACACTTTACTTATTCTTTAATTTATCATTCTGTCAGATTTTGATCCATATTTAATCTACCCCAAACTCACAATTTTACTCAGTATTACTGTCTCTCTTTTCTCCAAAACAACATAACTAGATAATAAATAATACTCATTTCGTTATTTCCACATTTTGCTGTTTCTCATTTTTATGAATATTTTTGCATATATAAATGTTAGGGGGTTTATAATTATTTACTCAGTGTTATAACTCCTCCTGCAAATATTAAATGCAAAATGCGCTTCTGAAATAACATTAACAAGTGAGTACATGAAACACAATATAATGTGATGTGGGAAGGGTTAATTTTTGTTGTACTATATAAACAAACTGAAGATTAACCCAGTGAATATTTTGTTTTTATTTTTTGTTGTGAAGATATTTCTAGACTTAATATAGTGTCCACCATGGCTCAAACCAGTGCTTCAATTACTACAACATTCAACCTTTCACTGCTTTTAGATCAAGAACACAATGTGGGCAAAGTTGGTGTGGATTGAAGTGGCCAGCAACCAACAACCAGCTTGGATCAGCATCATTATTGACCAGCACAGAGTTAGCCTTGTGGTTAAGATGTCATCCTAAGACCCTGAGGACCAGACCACTAAATGCAGTTACACCACCAGGTGGAGTTGGCAGTAAAAGGGTTATATATATATATATATATATATATATATATATATATATATATATATACTCATAAAGAAGTAATTTATACAAAGAATTAATTAGCAATGTTATTGTGATTAATGCCGAAATTAATTGCTAATTAATTCTTGTATAAATTACTTCTTTATAATATAATATATAAGCTGCACACTCTAATATATATATATATATATATATATATATATATATATATATATATATATATATATATGGAAAATAAAAATAGCAAAATAATAAAGTATACATAGTGCCCAAAGAGGATTGAAATCATCCTTCAAAATAGGAATAACTAACAACAGATCTGATTTTAACATGATTTTTCATTTACCTTTTCTCTTATTTCTCTTTTTTTTAATAATTCAATTTATGGACTCAGATCTGAGCTGGTAAATTCAGATTAACAGAGAGAAAATTGGTTTAAGTCAACTTTGAAACATTCTGTTAAGATCAAACTCATTGTCAATGGCTTTCAAAATTTGTTCTTAACCATAAGATGGTAATGAACTATTCTGCTTCATTGACTGTAAAATGAGTTTATGTTAGCAGTTGTAGTAGAAGATAATGTCTAAATTTCAAGTATAGACAAGGAATATTCTGTTGAATTTATGCCTACAAAAATACCTGCTGATTTGTTGTAGAGATGAACATAATAAGACATACTTAGAATTCTTCCTGCTATGTATATGCTTCTATTACTTTTAATATATTCCTTCCTTCATACTAAAAGCGTGACATAACTATTGTTTGTTTATTAATGATATTAAATTCTGTGCTCTTAGCATTGTGAAAATTAGCAATGAATTGCAAAAGGTACCTGTCTGAACAGTTGAAAGAGATTGTTGTTATAGGAATGTGATGAGATTCATTCATTTCTAGAACATGCTCAAGAACAAGAGCAGTGCTTGTGTCTGGTTTTCCATCTGTCAACAGATAAATGGCTTCAAGTGAATCATCCAAGAATGCAGTCTGAAAAAAAATGCCAAAAACCATATTTGTCATTATTATTATAGTCATTTTTTTTGTTTTGAAGAAAGACCAAAAACAATACTTGTTATTACTTAAATGCTGCTTTGGCAACATTTAATTGATGTCAAGCCACTTTTTATTTATAGAATTTATAAATAACATATATATCATAATATATATTATATATTTGGGTATGTGACATTGAGGCCATGAAGTGGTTAAATGTTAATTATGAGCAGCAAAGAGTTAAGCCCAAAATGGAATGTAAGCTGGAAGAGAGAGAAAGAGAGAGGGTGGAGCTATTTTCCTTGGTAGAGTTGAGAATGTCTATTTTTTTTCTCTCCTAAAGTTATTTTTTATCTATCGAGAATCTGATATGCAGACAAAAACAAATTTAGAGAAATAATTTTATCTCTTTCAAGAGGAATTAAGAAAACACATATCATTAATGAGAAGAGAGACAGATGGAGCTTATATTTTTGTTGATGAAAACGAACTGGGAAATTTAAACAAAGAACAAACCCATTTTGAGGGTTAAAGTTATGAAGACATATCCTGCCATTGATGAGCAGGTGATCTGGTTTATATTTTCACAAAACAGAAATGAAGAAATAATTTTATCTCTTCCTTGAGAATTTAAGCAAACAAATACTGATATGAGAGAGAGAGAGAGAGAGAGAGAGAGAGAGAGAGAGAGATCTGGATTATATTGTAGCTGATGAAAATGAATTGGGGGACTTGGGGAAATGTAATCAACGAATGAACCCTTTTTCAAGGGTCAAAGTTATGAAAACAGATCCTGTTGTTGATGAGCAAGTAATCTGGTTTATATTTTCACTAGACGTAGATAAGTTCAAGAATAGAGAAATAATTTTATCTCTTCCTTGAGGAATCAAGAGAATTAAAATTAATGACTAGAATAAAACTATGCCCTTTCACCCACACGCTTTAAAAATTACATTTGTCAGAAAGACAGTTATGCCTGCTCTGAGAGGTAGGCTGAGGTTGAATGCTGAGAAGGAAGGAGGAATAAAGAGAATTTGGCACTGCTTGTGTGCAGTGATAGTGCGAGATGTAAAATGGAGCAGGTTGGAGTTGAAGGGAGGAGCAATCCCTGTAACTATTCCCAACTAAGATATCCATATTTACAAAGTTGATTAAGAAAGTAGAAATAGGGAACAAAGAACCCATACTAGAGCTTTCTGAAATACCAAACTGCACCCCTACTTCCATCAACATGTGTGATATGGAAAAGAAAGGATAAAACAAGAAGACAAAATATTTGTTTTGCCCCTGCCGTTATTTTATTTTATTAGATCAAGAAAACTATATAAAACTTGGTTCCTAAATATTGTAAACTGTGGGGAGACAGGAGGTAAGGGGGATGTATTAAAACTGACTTTATTCTTAGATGTTTTGGGGATGAGTGAATTAGGAAAAGCAAACATAGTAACAATCAAATATGACAGTTGTTAGTAAAAAATATCCATTTCAAAATCATGATTTCCATTTCAAGTAGATCATTCCATTCTTTGTTTTCATGGAATTTAAGCCCCTCTAAATATAGCATACATTAAAAACTATATTTAACATATATATATATATATATATATATATATATATATATATATATATATATTTGTATATTTCTTTTCTTATGTATATAAAAGTACACTATTTTAAATACTTTTAAATGAACTTTTTAATACATATATACATTATATTTTTAGATTATTTACCCATTAACATGCAGTACAATTTTCAAAATGAGCATTTGTTTTCCTTGGATATTCCCAAGCTCTGTAGTTTTTTAGCAGGTTTTTCAAAAGCAATTCATCAGTGTACAAGTAGTTCAAAATAATTTAATCCCGCTTTATTTATTAATTCATTCACATTCCTTAATTCTATAGTTTTCAATTCCTCCCTCTGTTTTACTTCATCTTTTTTATTATATTCCATTTTTAGTTCCCCTATCTGTTTTGACAATATGATGTTATATATATATATATATATATATAGATAGATATATAAAATAAAACTAATCATATACTATACATAAAAAAATAAAACTAATTATATGCTATACTAAATTTAACACAACCAACTTCATAACTCTTCTCTGTCATCTAGTGTTTTGGAAAAGACCAACATTGTATATCAGTTTAAATGTCCTTTGGGGGATGGTATAAAAAAAATTAAGTACACATGTTGGCTTGATACCACAATAGTATCAAAACATTTTACACTCTATTTGTCGGATACAAGTTCTGTTGCACAACATTTAAAGACATATTACTGTCCACCTTCACAATACAGGAAAACACTTGTTGACAACACAAATATACAACACCATGAAAATGATAAACAAAAACTTCAAATTCTCAAGGCCCTTTATATCAAAAGCAAGCAAGCAACCAACACTGAACAAGTGTAATAGCAATGTTTTAAAATGTATTTAACTAACATTTAATGTCATGTTGCATTTTTGCCATTTCAGGTTAGCTCCCTTACATTGTGAACGTTTGTTTACAAAAAACATTATTGATATAATGGATAAGTTTAAAATAATTATAACAGAGCATGTTCATGCATGTTTACAAAAATCACCATCACAATGATTCACAGTTACATTAAGTTTGTCTTTGCAATTCACCCCTGAGGATGATCTTGGAGGAGATCGAAAGTACTTGGGTTAACAAGAACTATGGTGCTTTCCTGGATGAATTTCAACTTAATATCAAGAAGCTAATTAGAGTACTAGAAAGGATTATTATAAAAATAAAATGTCTATATTACTCAATGAAACATGTTTAAATGAAGATATGCTGTATATATATATATATATATATATATATATATATATATATATATATATATTTGTTTTTAAATGTTTAAACTGGTTTTTGTTGAAGATAACAAACAAGTTCTACCTGTAATATATTTTAATGATTTTTTTTCTTGTTAGCAAGTTAATTTCCTTGTGTTGGTGTTAAAGTTAGGCAGGAACTTAACTCATCAAGAAGAAAAATTAATTAAAAAATATAATAGATGTAACTTGTTTGTTATCTTCAGCAGAACTTGCATAAATGAACATTTGCAGCCAAGATACAAATTTTTATTTAGAAGTTCTGAAAGAGTTACAAGAATCTGTTCAAAGGAAAAACCCAAACACTGGCCTAACATGAATATTCTCAACTATTACAATGTTCTTGTGTATGATGTGTTAGGAGTTTGTGAGTTCCTTGTTAAAAAAAAAATATTTTACAGAAATTAGTCATCCATTTTAGTCACTATTATTTTTGGCTATATCCAAAATTGAAAATGCCCTGAAAGGACAATGGTTTGTTGTCAGTACTTAGAAGATAACTGCAGCTAACAGTGACCAGGTAAGCAAACTTTGCTTTCATAGAGTTTATACTGGAAATTGAATTGTCACACCCCACATATGTAAGTGTATTTGGGTAACAGTTTTTCAGTAATGCAGGTTTGATTAGAGACCAATGTAAATCCTCTGTTCAAGATTTTTATTATTTTTTGGCAATGTTTAATCTTCATGCCTGCAATAAAATGCTGTGTCAAAAGGAGAGTTATCCCTTGACGTCCCTATTGCTGTATACACTTTTGACTCCCTCATCAATGTTTATTGCTTTAAAAAGCGATGAATTAAAATTCAAACATATGAACATGGACTTATACATTTTCTTTTTTTTTTGAGAATTGACAAAAAAGATATTAAACACCGTTTATTTATTAGATTGCTTATTTAAATTTCCTTAATTTATACTTACAAAATTATAAACATGTAAACCAACTATAATGAAATACTTGTTCTATTTGATATTTTTATCAAAGAATGGATAAAAAGCTTGTTTTCATTGTTATTTATAAATTGGTAAATAAATATTGCATTACATATTTTGATAATTTTGTAATTTTTTATAAATTTTTGAATAAAAAGATTTTTCAAATTTCTTTCTTTATAAAATGGTAAATAATAAATACTGCCTCATACTTGGGTCACTTTTATAATTTTGTAAGTAAACATTCCTAAGGGAGTCAGAAGTGTATACAATAATAGTGATGTCAACGAAATAACTGTCCTTTTGACGCACTGTTTAATTGTGAGCATGAAGGTTAAACATTACCAATATTTCTTTTTTTTTCTGATGAATTATCTAATATCAGGATTGAAGCTGAACATAAATTATTTCAATTTCTGAGTGCTGCTTTCAGTTTTCCTAAATCATTGTCAAAAAAAAATTTATATGTATTTTAATGTTGTGTTTTAAAAACATTTTTTGTGTATTGATGGTAAGTTTTTTTATTAAAAATGCATTTTGAGTTTTGGTTTTGAATTTATTTTATGCATTATGTATATGTGATGTGTCTTTTCTGTTTCTTATTTATTTATAAAATATATTTAATATGTTTTGTCTAAAATTGAATAACATTTCACTAATGTTAGGTCGTTTATTTTTTATGGTTAAAGCTTTTAATTGTGGCACCTTGCATTATTAGAAATATTCCTAGAAATATGATTTAATTTTTTCTTACTCAGTTTATTAAACAGGTTGTTACTTTTTTTTTAAAAACGGAAAATAACTGAGTTGAAAATAATTCACTAAGAGTGTACTAGACGATCCTAAGGAAAGAAGAAGGAAAGAAAGGAAAAAGGAAGGAAGGGAAGAAAAAAGAAAGAAAGAGAAATGTATGACGCATGACCCAATTGAGGGTGGAGATAGGAGTCAGAAAGAGATTTAGGTCAGCGTCTTGGCCGATTTTCGAAAGTCATTTTGATAAGAATGTCGGTCAGAGCACTTGGCCTACTTTTGCGTGGAAAGACTCATTGGAAAAAGGGAAATTTCTTTGTAGAACAATAGAAACGAAATTTTCTTTGGGTTGAGGGGAGTGACCAGTGGAACGATATACAGATCTTGACCTGTTAAGAATTGGACACCCACGTTAATAAAGTAGAGACATTTCAATGTAGATAATTAAGATTTTCGACTATCAGGAAAAACAAAGAGGTAAAAAGAGGGACAATTGCTTTTGGCTCACAGAGGGCGCCAAGAAGGCGGAAAAGATCCTTTCTAAAGTCAAGACTAATTAGCAGCGGGCTGTTTGACAAAGTCCAGGTGAGAGAAAGCCAAAGATTGTCATTTTATGTACGTGCAAAAAGGAAAAATTGATTTTGTTTTTTTTTTTAAACAAGAACGATGTAACCACGCCCGCAAACAGAGGGGAGAGGATGTTCGATCAATAACAATTGGTCGAATACGATCACGTGACCTGCGAAGAAAAGGAAAGAAATGTTCGACCAATAACAATTGGTCGAATACGATCACGTGACCTGCGGAAGAAAAGGAAAAGAAATGCTCGATCAGGAACGATTGGTTGAAAAAGCGGTCACCTGACATACGAGAGACTAAGAGAGATGGATGCTACGCCCCACCAAAGGTACTGCGAGGGAAGTAGGGGCGAAAACAATAGCGGTAATGGAGAAGACAGAATTAATGCAGTTTTTGGAATTATCGAAAAACCCTGACGCCGACAGACCCACCCCAGTTTGTTGCGGCGTCAATAAAAGCAGGGCCCCAATCGACAAAAAATCAGTTCATCCCCGGACGGCAGCGAAAAAGAACCCTCAGACAAGAAGAACTTCCAGCCCAAGTAGATGAAGAAGAAGATTGCCTGAAAGCCTGAGAAGAATTGGAGCTGCAGACAAGCCGAAAGTCGATGAGAAGTTAAAGTTCAGCTCCGGACGGCAGTGAGAAGAGACCACCTCAGACGACAGAGAGTTGCGGCTAAGTTGAAACAAGAAATCTTCCACCAAGTTGAAACAGGAAAACTACCAGCCCAAGCAGACGAAGAAGAAGAAATACAACTCAAGTCGGAGAGAAGAATCAACTGCGAATGATCGATAGAAATTAGCCCCAGTGTCGAACTGAACCACACTCCGACATACATACATGATTCTAGAAAGTAGGTAATTCGACATTTTCCTATTGTGTGATAGAAGCTTGGTGCCATAGTCCACAGAGCGGGTCGGGAAATGAGAACACTTTTGTTTTATGTAACGGACTTTAAGATATAAAAGGTTGTTACCCTTTTTATCAGCAATTTTGTTTGGTGTCGTGAGTTTTTATTTTATTTGTGTTTTGCCACCCCCGTCGGACTCAACTTGTATCGGCCCCGATCCCTGCTGGTCCCGTCTGTCTAAGATCTAAACACAGCGTGGGTAGACAGACCGGAGATCGGTATAGTTGCTTTAGTGACCAGGTATTGGAAGCGAGTCGGGAAAGGCGAGGCTGGTGATCATCTGACCAAAGGGTTGGAGCGGCACGCTTGGACCCAGGAGGAGCGACCAGGAGGAGCGACGTCACCGTTGGCGCCGTAACCAAAGGATCCGACACTGGGCCAGGTGTGTAACCGTCACAAATATTTGTAGCTGTTTTTTGACAATTGATACAGTCTCCATCATGATATTAGACAACAAGGAGAAAAATTAAATAATGTTCTGAACAATGAACTTTATATATATATATATATATATATATATATATATATATATATATATATATATAGAGTAACACAAATAGTAAAACATTTGTTAAAACTGAATGTATTAAAAGTACTCAATACTTAAGTCAATACAATATAGATAAAATTTCTGGGAATTTTAATCATGTTCTCTTAACAGCAGCCCAATTCCTTTTTCAATATAATTTGTATAATGTTTTAAATCTAGAAATGAGAGAAATGGATAGCTTATGTCAGTATCGTCAAAGCAGTTTTCAATCTTCTTCTCTTTTAGAAATCTGTCCTTGATCCCTACACACACAGTTGAAGAAAATATAGATACACTAAATTTATAATTTTATTATACTATTATAATATTTCTTACTTCTAAGGCTTCCAATGTGCATGTGTTCCCAGATGCAACAAGGTTAGAAATCCATTCCACTGATTCATGGCATTTTTCCTCACTCATAGTTTGTATTGTCGGCTGCCACTTTTTGCAGCTGTCCGAAAAGGCAATGAAATTAAAACTGGAATCAGAAATAGAAAAGAGAACAATCACAAATTAATACATTTTTTTGTAATAACATTCATTATAGAGAGGGATTACTTTTACAAATGTCTACCCAATACAAGGCCCAAGAGCCACTCAAGATAGAGGGTTATTGTGTGGTGTTGTATGAGCATAAGAAAGGGCTAGGAATTAAGTTCTTGGGGCTATGCAAGATAACAGCTAAATCTAGACTTGAAGAAATCAAGATTGTTGTGATTTGGAAAACAAGTGAATGAACAGACTTTAGAAGGAACTGGAAACCCAATTCTAAACATGAAACAAGGTATAAACTTCTAGTCTTGTTCAAAAGATCAGGGAAGAATGTAAATTGGATGATAGGTGAACCAATCTACTCCTATTGGGAGAGAAGAAAAAAAAATAATAAGTATAAACTGTAAGAGTTCAAGTAGGGATGTTAGAAGTTGAAGTAAACTTTAGAAAGAAACCATATCCTAAACAGGAAACAAGGGATAAATCTCTACTCCTGTTTAAAAGTCCATGGAGGAGAACTCCTTTTATTATAATCATGGATAATATTATTAGGAGTTTATTGTTATCAAAATCACTCTGTCTCAAACACTTTATTTAAAAGTAAATAAAAAACAATAATTTCAAATTAATAAAATTTGCATTCATTTTTTTCTAATGAAAAGATATTTATAAGAATGTAATTTTTTTCAATTTTTATATCCTTTGCTTAATGTTATCAGTCGGTTATTGTTATCTAAAAGGTTCTGTCCCTTGTTTGTGTGTATGTGTGGGTATGTAAACTTTTGAATGTGTCTACATGTGCAGGTGTATGTGTGTATATATATATATATATATATATGTTATGAAGTTCAGAGCAACATTTGATCTTAATGTTTATTCCAACTTAATTTCAATAAAAACAAAATAAATAGAATAACATATGTATTTTTTCTTTTTTCCTCAGTAATTTTTTAATTTTAAACTTATATAGATTAAATTTAAATTTTAAAATGGGTAATTTTTAATTTTTAATTTCATCATATAATTTAATATTTATTAGTTAGAATAAGTTCTATTTTAGTCTAACCCCAACATTAACGCATTAAGTAATTATTATAACCTGAGTTCGTTGTTAAGTTTTTGAATTCTCGTATACTTGTATTTTGATTCACCATTCCAGTTTATGTAACAGCGTTTCCCTTAGCGAGGGGCGTTTGATTGATTTGAACCTTTTAAAACCCTTTATTCTACATTCAACATCATCACTTGATAAGACACTAGAAGTGTTGAAACAAAATGGCTATTTTTGTAGTGATTTTATAACATATTTATGTTATAATTTTCAAATATATATATATATATAAATAAATAAATGGTGGTATCATTTGGAAAAACCTCGGATAGCTCAACTTGCAAATCGAGGAAAAATGGGGAATAAAAAAAGAAAGAACCAAGAACATTAAAACAAGGCAAAAACAATCATCCAGTGTTTAAGCTCCAAGTCCAAAGAAAAAAAACCCCAGAACACTATTGCTAACTGCAAGGAACCTAAAAATTTATTGAACCAAAAATTAGAAATTCTTAGTAGGTGTAAGCACAGGAAAAGCTGGTTATTAGAATAGTATTTTTGTTTTGTTTTGTTATTCAATAAAGTACATACCCCCCATTGTTTGTCTTTTCTTTTTTTGTCACGTGGTCATGGCTATTCTTGGTTTTAGCAATATATACTATTCTATAATTTTCCTTTTCAGCCAGCTTCCCTGAAGATCCATTTAGGGGAAACCTAGGTAGGTTTGCCTGGCTCCTTAGGATTATCTTATATATATATATATTAAAAAGAAGAGAAGAGAGGTGCCGCAAACGTTTTTGGTTGTAATATGGATTTATTTAGAAAAAAATATTATGCTTTGTTTTCATAATTTTACTACACGAGTTTCTGGTCTCGCGACCGTCTTCAGGTAAAAGCGGAGATTTCCACATATTATTAAAAATAATTAATTTTTTCCTTATGTTTTTCAATGTTAAATATTCTCGATATGAGACATTTTCTGTTTTTTTGTTAGTAATCCGAATTTCTTTCTTGAATTTGCAATGAAGAGTTCTGCGCGAAGGGTGATAAAACAATTAAGGTTCATTGCCAATTCAATATACACACATACACAAACATATATCTATACACATACATATATACACACGCATATATAGACACACACACATATATATACACACATGTACACATATATACACACACACACATATATATATATATATATATATATATATAATATAATAACACATATATATAAACATGAACACATATATATATATATATATACATATAATATATATATATATATATATATATATATAATATATATATATATATATATATATATACAGACATGTATATACACACACACACATATATACATATATATCAATCTGTATGTTTTTTATCATTTTTATCTTGTTCTCTCATGAAGCTTTAATAAAATGAAACATGTTAGATTTAAATCTGTTTCCTACTTTTTCTTTATCCAAGCATTTTGTTGGATTCCTATCGATACTTGATTTCTATTTGATCTTCTACTCATTTTGTCTGAATATGGAAACCAAAGAGACAGAAACAACATTATATTTCCATCTACAGAAAGCTTCTACTATCCAATTACTCCCTACTTAACAGAAGGAATTTCCTACTTAACTGCATTGCGGAAAATGTTGTTCCAAGGCATACTTTTAAAGTGTTACATAATACGAATATCTTCCCCAAACACACCCACGACTACATTCTCACATATGCAGAGGATCTCAAAACAGAAAGAAATACTCTACAATGACCAAACAGCATCAATTGGAAAAATGCTATGTTTTAAAAATGTCCTTTCAACTTCCAAAGCTGAAATATTGCGATGAACAATATGGCACACAAACAACAAAATCGATTAAAAAACTCAAACTCCACAACCTATGAATAAACAGTAAATGGAAGATGATTGGTAATCCAAATCTTATCCACAATATCTTCACATTCACATTTTCTACCATTGAAATGGAAGCTTTAAATTTGATACTGGTCTAAAAAAAGATGACACAATCCCTACCTTAACCAAGAACCACAGTTTCAACTACACTGATTATGAAAAAGGTTTCATACATGGCATATTAGTAGCCTTGATCACAAATACCAGCTAGGTGATATATAGAAGCATTAAAAAATTTGTCCATGAACAAAAACATTATTATAACCTGATCTGACAAAAGAGGCGGTATAGTTATTATGGACACCAACATGTACATTGAAAAATTAGAATCCCTCTTAAATAATGACGACATCTACACTAAAACCAATGAACTTACCATAAACACTGAAACACTTAGGTTAAAAAAAACTATCAAGAAACTATTAAAATATGAAAACAAGTCTTGGATGAGATTAATAGATTACCATCCCACTATACCTACACTATATAGCTTACCCAGACACACAAACCTGCCATGCCCATTAGGCCCATTGTGTTCAGAATTAACAGTGTGAACCCTCACAATTTAGCTAGAGCCATCACTGAAATCCTAACTCTGTTCCTAGGCACCATCAGTACAACACACATCAAACATTTGGGTGACTTACTTCAAAGAATATGGATAAATATGACTGACATGTCTATGGCTAGTTTAGATATCAAATCACTATACACCAATATACCCGTCACCAAATGCTTCAATATATTAAGAAATCACCTCAATAAATCCAAGGATAAGCTTTCTCTACCCATCCACAAAATCATAAAGATATGTAAAATGATCACTAACCAATGTTTCTTTTCTTTCAATAATATATTCTACAAAGAAAAATTTGATTTACCCATCGGGTCTCCTATCAGTGATGCTCTCAATTGCCTCTTTCTAGAATTCTTAGAATCTGCCCCATTTAAACGTATCTTACCTAACATCTTTACTTATCTAAGATATATTGATGACGTCCTCTTATTTTATCCCTAAGATACTAACCTTTTAAAAGTAATAGCTAAATTCAAAATTGAACCAACCATCAAATACATATGAATTTGAAACCAATAACTCTATACCTTTCCTTGATAACCTATTAATATGTAACAATAATAAATTAGAATTTAAGGTTTATTGTAAACCCACTAACAAAAATGATCTTATCAATTTCTATTCCCACCATACCTGAAAAATAAAATCTGGAATAATTATAAGATTTTACCTTAGAGCCCTTAGGATATGTAGCCCTGAATACATTAGTGAAGAAGAGGATTATATTGAGAACACATTCAAACTTCTACACTACCTATACTATTTAATCTTAAATGCAAAAAAACCCCAAAAAAACAGGATAACAAAATCCATAAAAACAAACAAATACTTTCAACAAAAATTATACAAAATTCATAATCCTACCCTACAACACTTCAACTAAACTTGCAAATGAATTAGCCATCCCTGACACGAGGATAGTTACCACCACCTCTAAGACTATCGGAGATATAATCAGGATGAAAAATAAAACAAATATCAATTCAAATGCCAGAGTTTATCAGATCAAATGCCTACAATGTAATTGTACATTGGAGAGACATCACATGATCTAAAAACCAGCATCCAGGAACACAAAAGAGACTTGCGGTTAGATAGGCATTCAAACTCTCTCATCTTACACTGTAATGACGTGGAACGTAACTTTAATTTCACCTTATTAAAAATAACATAATCTTTTAAAGAGAAAATATTATGAAAACATATTTATAGCAATACTACCAACTATTAACACACATTTAAAAAACTACATTATTTCACCAATATTCTACAGATCCATTATTCATGAATCTAACTTATGTGTTTCTAATACATAAAAATCAATGATGAAGATATATACAAAATGCGCACGATATGTGCTTTAATGAAAAATCAAACCAAAACAAAATTTTTCAAAACATCTCACTACCACTTTAGCATCCAGAATGTTTCTCACACATATTTGAATATTATCTGTTACTTCATTACACATGACATGTATCTAACCAATAAGAAATAACCAAACACATACCATTAATCTGCATCTCTTTGCTTTTTATCTTTTTTATCATTTCTATCTGGATCTCTGACAAAGCAATTAATAAAGTGAAACATGTTAGATTGAGATCTGTTTCCTACTTGTTCTTTGTCCTATCATTTTGTTGCATTCCTGTTTATACTTGATCTATATTTGATCTTCTACTCATATATATATATACACACACACATGCACACACACATATATAAATATACACACACATCCACACACGTATATATGTATATATATACACATACACACACACACATATATAAACACACACACACACACACACAAAAGTGTGCTGAAAAAATTCTTGACCCAACCCACTTCCCAAAATCATCATTCTGATGTTTGATTATTAAAATACTGATTTTGGAAAGCGGGTTGGGCCAAGAAATTGTCACCATCCTGTTTGTATAACTTTTAGTTTTAGTTATCATCTTTTTATTTTACAAATCAATATCAATATTTTGGTGGAGTTTTTTATGATTATTACTGACTTGTCTAGAGTGTGCGGGATTTGAATAGCCCTCAGATCTTTCTAGTAACATTTTAATATGGAGATTCATGTGCACTTTACTATTTCCACTTTTTAAATCAGCTCAATACAACATTATACTTTTACTCTTGTCAAGCTTAAATATTTCTTTCACTCTCTTTTACTTTTATGTATAATACAAAATGTGACTTTTTTGATTTTTCTTAAGTGCATTTTTAATTTTTTTTACTTTGTTAACATTTATTTAAATCTGTTTTTTATTTTCTTTTATACTTTTATTGATTTTACTTTCCAAACTTTTTATGTTTTTCTAATATAAATAAAACAGGCCATCAAAATTTAATGTGGATTAATCATTTTTTATTTAAGTATGAAAGTTAAATGTAGCCGTCTGGATTAAAATGTCAGTAATCTAATCACATTTACAGACAAAATTAAATAAAAGAGACAGGCTTAATAATAATAATAACTCAATTCTCTCACTCATATTAGTGAGCCATAATTCTCAAACACTTCTTTCTTCCTGATTTTCAATGTATTTTTATAGTATAACTGCTACCAATGTATTTAAATTATACGCAGAAGTTTGTTACTAATACTCTCATTAATTCTGAATCACTGACAATCAATTTTCTTCCCTGTTTCAATTAGTAACATAGACATTGAATATTAAAACTTGCTCAAATTTTAGGTAAAAAAATTCACAAAGGCTTAATCATCAATTATTCCCCTGCCACCAGAAATATGTAGTTTGTTAATGAAGGAAATTAAAGATAAGTAAAGATGTTGTGGAGTAAAGGTATAGTAGATGGGTTGGAATAAGAAAAACTGAAATCTTGCTTATATACATGTTGGATTAAGATCCATGTGATAATATAAGTTATATAAATGGCTAGTTATATATAATAGGTATAAATACTTTATACTAATAAATACTAATTTATATTTATTAATATATTTGGAAAATTAAAAATCATTTGAACACAGGTGTCCTTAATAAACAAATTTAATTATAAAGATTTACTATGCAAGTGATTGGTTTATTAATTTTCACACAGGTCTCATCATGTTTGATGTACTTGTTTAATAAATCCTAAGCATGATACATGCACAGTAGCTGGCATACTCAGAAATGAGTATGCCAGTATGCTAGCTAGTCCCTATTGCACATTTGTATTTTTTTTACATCAACAGAGCCAATCAATAGCTTACACTGCAACTGAGCAGATTTTAGTTACAATTTCTTGGAGAGAGTGTATATTCTGGCATAATCAGTCATTGAACAAGGACAATATCATCAAACTCTCGACCACAATGACTTGTGACTTAATGCTAATGCAACTACCATTGACCATTTCTGAACAGTTTTGTCTACCTGATTTCACTAACAAGGATTGGGTCAAACCATGATATGGCTTTCATATACTCTCTAATGGGGCTACACACAGAGGTTGTCAAAATTATCAAAAACTCATCTCTTTGATAAATCTAACATGGTGAGATTTAAATCTAGGTTTCATAGTTGGAACACTATTAGTCTAGCCATTTTGCCATTTTCCTATATGATACATAAACAGTTAATTATAATTTGTTTTACATGCAGAAAGTCAAGTTATTTAAGTGTGTGGCTTTTTTTGTATCCTTATATTCAAAAAGGAGAGAAAAATGACTTACTTTATCTTGTTGGCATAAAGCTGTTCCCAGATCAGAGATACTATTTCTTTCTTTAACTCATCAAGATATGGGTTCATAGAACCAGATGTGTCAATGAGAAAAGTACAGTTTTGATGGATAATGGTGCCAAAGACCCGACGACTTCCTAAAATCAATATAAATTCAAAGATCAAGAAGTGAATGATTTTAGATACTTAATAAAGAAGCTGAAAGAATTTGCTAAACTTTATCACTTTGCATTATTACTGAACAACAGTTGTTATTCTATTAAATTCTTTCAAGGACTTTTGAACTTCAGTTGCCTTAAGGCTATTTTCTGTTGCTATACAGAATGACACAAACACTCAATCAGGGTTATCTTCAGTGACAGGAAAACCTCTTTTGCTTAGTTAAGATGAGGAATTGTAAATATACTTTAGTTTAAATTCTGTGCATTTAGGCATCAAACTTTCTTTAAGGCAAATATTTTGTGTCTACTAGTTTTACTGATTGACTTTTCCAAATTAAAAATAATCCTTCTCAGACAAGGATGAAATTTCCATTAGAAATTGTCTGAACTTCATTTTGGAAGAAAAGTACAAGAAATATGGTCCAAGCTTTCAACTTTCTTAACTAATTATCAGTGTAGGTAGGTAGAGTTGGTGAGTTTCATAGAACTAGTGAGTGTTGTGACATAGGTAAAGAGTGTTGACATAAGTGAAGTATGATGTGTGTTTTTTATATACATTTAAGGATGTAGGCTCTTTAGTTATAATGTATATAACAAAAAAAAAGCATGTCTCACCTATGTCCCAACACTCTTTGCCTTTATATATCAATATTACTGATTCTTATTTTATCTTCAGATTATAATAATAGAAGTATCAATAAAGTCATTACATAAATGAATAAAGACAAAATTAAAATATAGGACAGAGTGATTACATACCACTGAGTAACCACTGCAGTCTTTTTAGGTAATGTTGAAGTACTTGTTTTATCTCTTCACTATATTCTTTGAGTTCAGGTGGTAATAATTGTAAATGTCGAATTGTTCCTTTGACATTGATGCTTGGAAAGATACTACAATACCTTGAAGAGGAAGAAACATTCAAAATAAAATTAAGATAACAAAAAAACATTACTATAAAAGATTAGGGATATTTGGTACTCTAATTGGAGAAGTGTTTATGTGTGGGAAAATCTGTTATCAAGTAACTTAAATGTGGATGAATGATTTGGACAAATATTTTCATCTTTATTTTAGAAGATTCTTATTGGTCAGTTCTTCAGCCTCTACTTAGTGAGTGTCACATGTGATATCAGGAAACTTTCAAGTGAAACATTTTATTTCATTGTTCTTGATTCTTGTTTGTATCACAGTGTCTTTCCTTGGAATTGAACTCAAAATGCTACTTTGTGTTATTTTATATTTCATGATCCTTTTCTATGTGGTTTAAAAATATCTAGAAGATAATCTGTTTCTTCAATTCCAATTCTTAAGTGATATAAATATTGAGATTTCTAAAAATTGATCCATTTTAGCTTAAAATATTTTGAACATGAATATTTTAATTTCTCTAATTAATACTTCAAATATGAAATTCAATGAAATCCCACTCAAAGCATTGCCTAGCAATATTAATTTATCAAATAAACAGACAACATGAGGCAACAGCGATATGGTTCTACAGAAGGATGCTTAGAATACCATGGTTGGAACATGGGGGCAATGAGGAACTTTTAAGGAAAAAGAGAACACTTGAACTTAGAATCAGACAGGTAAAATTTCTGATACATATAATGAGGAAAGGAGGCTTGGAGAATTTAACAGTTGCAGGACATATTGAAGACAAAAGGGGCAAAGGGAAACAGTAAACTTCATAATGAGCTTGTGTCAATGGATGGCAGAACATGGACTGAGAGGGATAGTAAAGAGACAAACATTATGTAGCACTACAAAGAATAGGAAGTTGTGGGGAGCTATGATTTCCCATGTCTTGAAAGGACACAGCGTATAAAAGGAGAAAGAAGTCTTCTAAAATTACTAATGTTATTTACAATGCATTTATGTAACAATCATAATACACCTATTTTCTCTATTGGCAATACTGCTTTAGTTCCTGATCACTGACAATACCTTTTTTCCTGATTTTCAATACATTTTTATAGAAAAATGTTTACCAGGAATTTATATTATAAATATAATAGCTTTCTTCAGCCTATTAGTAATTCTATCTTAATGCATGACCAATGACGATTACATCTTTCCTGTTTTTCAATGCGTAACATGTAGATTGAATGCTAAAACAAAGCTAAAATAAATCTTAATTAAAAAATGTAAAATTTGATGAAGGGTGTGATGGTGCATTAGGAAAGTCAGTGAGAAGAACTAAGAGAAATTGAAATCATATTTATGTAGACTGAATTCAAATAAAGTTGGTGTTAAAATACAACTGCAATTATTTTTTTATATCTTCTACTATCAAAATTTGTGTTGCTCTATATGCAATTATTAAGAATAAATGAATATGTTAATGTATTTGTTTAATAAATCCTAGACTGATATTACAAAATCATAAAGACCTTGACCAAATAATGAAAACCACATCACTTGAAAACTTCCAACAGCAACAAGAACAATGAGTAGCACATGTAACTAGAAAGGAAAATGCTAGCTTCCCAGATTACATTAAATAAAGTTTGAAAGGAAACTCATCAATATTAGAAGGAGTGATAAGTTAGTGAAATTGAGAAGTGTAATTTTCCTAAAAAAATTAAGAAAAAGATTGGATATATTTCAACCAACAGTAACACTAACTGTTCAGTCAATGAATGTTGAATGTTCTTGTATGAAAATAGCTAATTTCACGATTATCATAAACAGCTGGTTATATAAAATAGGATATAAAAAATTTATAACCATTAATGTATTTAGGGAAGTAAAACATTTTTTGAAAACAAGTATCCTTAATGGCTGAATTGAATTGTAAATATTTACCTTGCAGTGATTGGTTTGTGAAGAATTTTCACACAAGTTTCATCATGTTTGCAGGCAGGTCCAGAAACAAATTTATCCAGATTTAATTTCAGTTTGTTTAAACTAAACCTCAAAAGCCACTGCAATGGAAAGAATTAGCAATATTCCTCACAATCAAAAAATCGATTACTTATATTAATCCAAGCTCTTGTATCAGTGTAAATTACTTTGTATAAAATAAACTGATAAAATGACTGATATGAAATATCCAAAGTATGTAAGATGAAGCATGAAAATCAACTGAATGTTTAAAATTTTATTCTGTTGTCAGTGTTTTCTTCTTCTGATGTTCTTACTGAATGAAATGTTGACAATAGAATAAAATTTTAAACAACCCACTGGTTTTCACACACTCCATGTTATGTAAAATAAACTGTAAATGTTTAAAATTATCATAAATAATTAGAAAAATTAATTAGTGCCATGTAATTATCTTCACATAGCAATCTATGTGAAGATAAACCATTAAAAATCTATCAGTAATTACCTCTTATATTTACCTCTGAAATAATGACATTTTTACTAAAATAATACTTTAAGGGAAGATTTAAGGCTGCCAGCATTTTTATTACAATTCCGTCTGATCCTGCTGCTTTGTTTTAGTTCAAATTGGCCAGTGCTGAGTCACTTCAGATTTTAATATTTCCATTCTTTTGATATTTCTATGTACTGCTGGTTCTTTTTCATCATGGAAGAATTCTCTGATATATTTGTTCCATCTCTGAATTATTTTTTTTCTCTAATATCAGTATTTTGTCCTCAGATATTATTCATCCTTTGATGTGCACGTCTCGTGTCCTGTTAGTTCTCTTATTTTTTTTCTGCATATCTGCTTTATCTGTGATAGTCATTCTTTCTATTTCTGCACATTTTTCATTGAGCCATTTCTCTTTAACCTGCCTGCATTTGTTCCTAATTTCTTTGTGTAGTGGCTTATATTCTGTTCCATTTTTTGGCATTGATTTTTGTTTCCTTTTCATCATGTCAAGAATTTCATTTGTCATCAAATCTTTTTTTCTTTGTCTATTTTTCTTTGAGGGGATCTTGATTGCAGATGTTACTAAATCTTCTCTTAATGCACCCCACTTTGAGATTCCATTTTTATTTTGTCCATAATAGCTTTTCAGACTGTTCACATATCCCTCCTTCAGATTTGGGTCATTCAAGAGTCTGTCATATTGCAATTTGGGTGCTGTGTTGACCCTTTCCAGTTTCATAGTTTCACTCTAAGCTTACAGATCATTGGAAGGTAATCAATAATACCATTCTATTTCCCAGTTTGAATATAGTACCAATATTAAATGGTACTAATAGCAATTAAAGACAGAAAAGGATGCACTGTATTCATTTTTTACTAATTTTTCCTTAAATATTTATCTAAGAATTTAATTAAATAATTAAAACACTTTTATTCAAATTTTCAGAAAAACAAATCTTTATTTTTCAAGACTATTTCAACTTATCTCATTTTATTTTATTTTTTAATCAAAAAGGTTTAGAATGTAAGTCTTAAATAATTTATGCATTGTCTGGATATTGAAAAAGATTAAATATACATAAATATTTTTATTATAGCCTAAAAATATTCAAATGTGTACAGCTTCATAAGAAGCTATTTTTTTTATTACAAAGGTTATAGAAGTTAGGCTTTTAAGGAAAGATCCAAACCATAAAACATACCTCTTTTGTGCTAACATAATCCTCAATTCCTGTCAGTGCCATAAGCTTGAAAGACTTCTTCATGGGTTTGGGAGTTGGAAACCTTTTGATAACAGACCCTATATAAACAAAGATAATAATGATGCATGTGTAAGTACAGATAACTCCATACGAGTTTACTGATGCCATAAAAATGATATCAGTATTTAAATTTTGATATTTTATGAGAACAATACAATTATAAAATTATTATCTATTTATTTGTGAGCTAAAATAATTTAATAAATAAATAACTTACATCATTTTATTTGTCAAGTTTAAAATAACAAAATATTATTTCTATATCTTTATATGAGAGCATTATCATATAGAGATGGGTAATTCTCTGTTTTGTGGATATAGTTAACCTACAAACTTTTCCAGCACCCCCCCACCATATATATATATATATATATGGATATATATATATATATATATATATATATATGGATAGGTAGATAATATTAAATATATGTCCAGGACAGAGTAAGAATATAATATAAAAGGCTCAATCACTAATATTCCATGGTTATAATTTATTACATTGGAATCGTAATCACAATCCAAATCATCAGACCTACAAATTTGTTTATTAGTGTTTGAGCCTTTTATATTATACTAGCAGTAGAGCCCGGCGTTGCCCGGGGATGTAACAGTAAAAGAGACAGATCAAGTATCGACCATCATAAAGACTGAAAAATAAAATTGACAAAGATTATTGTTTAAGGTTGACAGACACACATGTCTTAATTATTTTTTTTTTTTTTTTTTTTACGAATTGGTCAAACTCAAACAAAAACATTGTTTTCAATTGTTATGAGTCTATCGATTGAATAGAATTTTATTATAAACAATAGTCTTGTAAATGGAATTTTTAAAGCATTCTGAATGTAAAAATAAAGAAAAAAGTGTGCAAAACAATAAGAAACACTACCTGCAAAAAAAAAAGTGAATTTTTGAAATCGGTTGAAAAATGTAGGAAATCCGATCCCATATATAAATGAACACACACACAAACAACCTGGGTTTTATAATAAATATAACTTGATATGAGTTGTCCCCCTTTCATTAATGCCTCTTAATTGTGTTTTCAAATTGATTTCATGCAAAAAAAAATGTGTTTTTACAATCTTTGGCGATGTCAGAACCACTGCCAGGTAATTTTACATAGTCCTGTGAAGTTTTATTGAAATCGGTTGAAAAATGTAGGAAATCCGATCCCATATATAAACGTACAGACACACACACACAATCTGTGTTTTATAATAAGTAAGATATGGTAAAGAAAGATTGTTCATGTATACTTATAATAATAAAGAGCGAGTGAAAGAAATTTCAGAGATAAAAACCAAAAATAATAAAATTGATTATAAAACTAATAATATTTATTGTATATTAACAGGGCTTTTGATCAAATGGAAGCATAAAGAGAAAGCTTTTAAAAATCAGAATTTTCAAACATGCCTGTGTCCTTTCACAACAAAACAAGAAATAAAAAATGAAGCGGGATTTTCTTTTCTGGGTAATTTGTTTTTTTCCTTCTCCAATATGTTATATTACCAAAGAGATCTGATAGTTTTGGGTTAGTTATTTACCATGATTAGGGCTGTAGAGTGTGTTGTAGATCTTTTCTACAATTATAATAAGCCAAAGTTGAAATGAACTGATCATCTGTGATGAAACCTCAGATCTCTTGGTTTTCAGTCTTTAGATCTATCCTGAGATAATTTCAGCAACCTATTTATGCCCTTTGAGTAGCATAGATTTAACTTATATAAAACAGTGTTTAGGAACAAGTCACATTTTTTTTCTTGGGTTCAAGACCATATGAAATGTCTCTGAATGAGTGAACCTTATGAATGGTACACTGGCACATTTTGGGAATCATTTCTTTGACAGAATTATATTGGGTTGACCAAAAAGTCTGTTTGGCTATTAAGAAAATTTACTTAATAAAGTGAACAAACGTTTTGGCCAACCCACTTAAGTGTTTTGTAATTCCTCAAAAATACCTTCATAATTAAAAGGTAAGAAAAGAGATCAGGTTACTTTGGCTTTCTTATTTGGATCATCTACCTTTATATTGGGAAATAACCATTTGATACTAATTCTTTCTGTACTGTAAGTGGATCATAAAAAAGATTTCATACATATTTCTTCTTTTTTATCATATGATCTGTCCTCACATAATGACAACTTTTATGAAATAATAATATCAGAAAATTTTTAGCTAATGTCTAATGAACATTTTAATAAATTTTATAGGATAATTTGATAACTAAATATTTATACTGAGTGTACATACATTTTTCTTTTGTTCAGATAGAAAGTTTTTGAAAATGAAATAATTACTTACCAATAGCACCTTTTTCCTCCAAAAAGAAACTCGAGGTGATCATTTGTGCCTCTTTACTGGTCATTTTATTTTTTATGGAGAATTTTTTTTTATGAA